TCTCTCTCTCTCTCTCTCTCTCTCTCTCTCTCTCTCTCTCTCTCTCTACAAATAACGATTTCCAATATAAATATTAAACGCAAAATTATGTAAATGAGAGATACCATATTTTAACACATCGCGTGGAGACGCAAAAGGTGTGAATAAATTTCTCCACAAGCGACTTCCGTATTTCTGAAACGAAAATTTCTATTTAAAAAAAGTAGTACGGGTTTTACTCCGTCTTTTTCTAATTTTTATGCAAATGCGAATCAACGCTACTTGATTCTGTCGCGATTCTGGACGGGGAAAACGACGAGATGTGGCGCGTACAACGCGTGAAATACCGGAAGTCCGCGATAAAAGACGGTTGAGGAAATCTCTCGTTTTCACATCCGCGCGAGTATCTGAAACGCTATATGCGTCTACAAGTATCCATGCAAGCATATACGATTTTTACGTGTTAAAATTATATATTCAAACTGCATTATGCATGCACATGCAAACGATACCAATTTCAACTCTGTTCTTATCACAATCTATGATAAACAAATAGTGTCTTTTTTATACTTTTATAAATAAAGCACCTTACAATTGAGATAATGCTACAAAAATGTAAGCTATAAATCAGGGATCTCGACGCCTTTGTGACATACTACTTTCCTATTTTGCGGAAACGGAACACGTGATCTAACGTGGCTTTCGCAACCAAGTCACACGAATGTTTTCCGGGGTCGTCAACCTTCAATTTCAAATGTTATCTTACTTTTAATGGTCTTTTTTCAAATGTCAATCCATTAACGCATATTTTAGTTTTCACAATATTCAAATCCGATGTTGAACTCCAAGAAACCAGTAAAAAATTATTATATATGCGACTTCTTATTACACCGCGAAGAGGATTGCTACTTCGATACGTTAAACATGATATGTTATCATGCACGAAGCAAATTGGAAAATACATATAATAAAATAATAACATATGAAATAATATGTCGCTTGAAGCATTTTTAATACGATTAACGATAGCATCGTGCTGATATATTGCAAGAAAAAGATAACACCCCGGGATGGCTTCCTACACGTATTATATATACACTATAGATTATGTAAAAAAAATACTCAGTCGTGATCTCTCTGCAACAAAAACTCGGATAGGATGGACAAAATCGCTGCAATTATTAAGTCTTAATAACTCCGTAATCACGAGTTAAATATCAGCCGATGCAAGGTCACGGACAAAAAAACCAACGACAGGAAAAAAATATTATTTTCTCGTCTTTACGTAAGCTGTATACAAGATTTGATGTAACAGCATTATTTGCATTTTAGAAGAAGCCTCATTGAGCGTAAAAGAATTATATCTATGTATTACTAACGTCAAAATAATTGGCACTATTTTTAATCATTCTTGGAACGCATTTCTACAATTCGATAAAAGAAATTTACCTTATTCTAATTGTATTCGGAATACAAATTGTCCTATGCGCGGAGCATTTGGAGAATCACTGATGAGCACAGATATGTCTCGACCATTTTGACACTGACCGAGCACAAAGTCATTATTACTATTATTAGTCGTTAACACGAGTAATTGATAAAAATGCATTCTTCTTACAGTCAGTTCTTACAGTTATCTCTTTTACGTTCGTCCGCTTTACCCATTGGTATATTCAAAGTGACTACTTTGCGTCGCGATGTAGAGCGCATGCAGTAGAATAGAACGCGAAATGCGGTATCTTGCACTATACATTTTTGCAAATGCAAATTTCTTCGCGAGCTACTATTGAATGAACCATTCCCGTGAAGGCGAGGCGCCGAAATGTCACGTCCCGAAATAACTCTATACTCGTATCGAGAATCAAATTGAATATTTCAGCGTAACATTCACGACGGCTTGGACTTGGGCTTGAGCTACTACGGTCTTACTACAAGTTGTAAGATGGTCAGAAATACGAGGGGGAGGCGCACGGGAGTGTTTCACGAAGACGAAGACGCCGCGGTCGTTTGCGCGGCAGTCATCCCGGGCACGTCGAGTATTTTTAACGGCCCTTACGTGTGTCAAGGACCACGCGACAAACCGTGCACGTCCGAAGTGCGCCGCGGGTCCTCTCTTTGTTCTACATGGAAGCGTCTGCGGCGTTTCGCGAATTACCGAGAATGTACAAGGGACAGGGGACTCGATGTGTAGCATTATTGTATATTAATAAGAGCGAGCTCCGGCAGTCCCTCGCGAGTTATTTACTCGCTCAAGATTGATATGGCAACGCGTACAACACGCTATACCTGCGCACGATGCAGTACTCTTACAACAAAGACATAAATCGCTTGTAGAGCTTGTACGCGTGACTTGATTCCGGAATGGTGATACGAAATGAGTATTAATCGGGATCACTACAGAAAGATTACCGAAAAAAATGCTACAACCGACAAATTTCGAGCGTGAAATACATCACGATGAGATATCGTGAGATGAGAGAATATGTACGTTAGAATGTCATCTACTTTATACAATTATTATTTTTTTTAATCACTATTTTCAAATTACGAAAGCGTTTTTTTCACTAAAAGTTGGATACTTTTGGAATTTTATAAAAGGAAAACTGAAATTCACAAGCGTCATATTTTTCGTACATTATTGAAGAGAAACAGAAATAGAACGCAGAAAATTACTTGCGATAAATTTGTATTATACTTGACATTATCTAAAGTAATATAGTCAGAGGTACAAGGTTACATTAGCTTCTTTTAAACAGAACCTACATTTTATGACTATTTCAAAGTAAATTCCTAGCATAAGTAGAATTGGTCACTTTTCCACGTACAGTAGTTCAAGATCGAATGAGTCAGCCATCAAATTTCAACACGGCGAACCTCATGAGCTCTCAAATGACTTCTAACCTTTAGTTTTATTAATTCTCTCTGCAGTTACATTGGTAATCATATTAAAGAAATAGATAAGCGCGAATAGAGCATTTCAATTATATTATAATCCAGTTATCATATTAAGTCATCATTTCAGTCTCTCGAGGTAAATGCCAGTGAAGCGCTCTTGACGTGAAATACGATGGCGCGGTACTTCGCATTGCGATGAGAAAAGATCTTCCGATCTCGTTATTTGGATACTAATAATTATCGGATATTAACGGATTTACGACAAAGCAATACGAGTAGTTAAACGGTAAATTAAAGCTATGAATAATAAACGAGCGCGAAACATAATTATGGAATACAGAATGCCGGTGAACGCGTGCATACGAATGAAGTATACAAATTTCACTTAATCAAAGGATTTGCATACATTGGCCGGAAATATATACGCAGTGTCAAGGAACGAGATAATCGATATCAAAGAATATCCAAGTGCTTGCTGTTTCCAAGTTATTTATATTAGTTATTTTCGGATATATCGATGAGTTTAATGTATGTATTATAAAAACGTGCGAAGCGCTGTCGACTTGTGTTGACCCTGCATCCTTGGAGATCGTTGCGCTCACATAAAAAAAATCGCAGGGAGCTCTTATCGATCCTCATCGAACTCCATCGACACGTGTATTCGACTCGGCCAAAATATGGAGGGAAAATGACGAATGAAAAATACATAAGTACGTATGAATAAGCGTTTTCTTGAACACGCTTGAGACGCACGAAGTAAAGTTTAAGTTTCAATGCGCAATTTCTGCTGCACGAGGAGCGTACCTTGAGCTTGGTCGCGAGAACGAGAGGCATACTTTAATTTGCAAAGCTAATCCGAGCTACGCAACTTTCCAAACTCACCTTTGTAATATCTATCGCGTAAATATAACAAAAGAAGAATGGTAAACGAAATATGAGCATATGAATAGAGAGTCAAAGGCTGTTTTTTACTGTCCGTGCTACATAATTAAATTTATAACATTATTATGAAAATTTCAACTCATTTATCAGTCTCGTCTACCATCCGTTCAAAATTGTTTATTTAATTAAAAATTTATTTTCTCGGTTACTCGTCATAAATCAGGTCACATTTCCGTTAAATTTATTTTATATTTCTTTGAACGTAGTGATTTCTTTTTGTTTGGATACCGCGTTCAATATGTAAGGATCCATTTTATATTTCCATAAGAGAATTTGTAAACCTGTAAAGGCCTTTAGAAAGTTACCAGTTTCAAAGTACAAAGTCGATTAACAATTGCACGACATCATTGCCGGGGAATTTACATTTATCGGTAATAATTCAAGTGCCTCCGCCACGTTGACAGGGAGTAGGAAGAACTATAAGAGAACGGCAATCATTGATTCGCAGCCTAGTGACCCTATACCTCCAGACACGGTGGCTCTTATAGACATTGTTGTTTGCGAAGGGAGATCTGTCTGTTGAACTTCGTACTTGCGAGTGTATAATCTCAACCACGAGATCGACTTTGCGGAACCATAACCGTTCTATATGAACTGTCCGAATAAAATCGATGAATCGTGTAGAACGTGTAGGTAAACAGGATTGTTGCCATGCGTATGAAGAATGTTTATTCTATATGAATCATATCTGATCATACTGAGCAAAAGCAAGGATATTACGCCACGAATAGGTGCAAAATTGAAAAAGTAAATTAATCTAAATAGAATTCCACGTCTTGTCTGCTGTCGCTGCCATTAATTAAGTATATTCAGATGAGCATCATCGATTCCTAACATATTTCACTTGTTGTTTGATTGTAATCGCGCTGTAGTCCCGATTTTTCGAGATAAAACTTTACGAAAGTATACGCAGGATTTAAATCATTCGTGTACATGACAATATCATGGACTTCGCAAAGTTGCGTAATATAAATATAAATCAAAATATGTGGGTGACGCGAGCTTTCCCAAAAGTTAATCCGCACACTTTTATCTCGCGGTTACTCCGACAATTCTTCGTCTTATTTATGACGCATACCGACATTTACTTTGGCACGGACCACATTGTTGCCGTCTGAAAAAGGTTAAAGATTATTATCGGCTTTATTTTGTGGGCGAGATTGAACGCGACAAGGCGAGCGTGCATAATATCAGCGAAGCTTTTTAAGACACTTTTAGGCATGAAATGACGTCGTCCGTACCACAATTTACGGCTATCAGCGAGCCAAATGGACCGCACTAATACAGCGAGAACAAATAATGACCTAGAATTCACTCGCAAATCGGATTATACCTCTTACTAACTTTCATCGAATGGCGCAAAGAAATCGCAATAAAGGGGAAATTTTAACTCTTCGTAAAATTATAAGTTCACATCCCATTTTTCATTATTTGAACTTACATAGTAACGAATAGCGTAGCGACTTTACCCTGAGACACTTTGTTACACTTATGAGATGGAAATGAGAGTAACTATGCAAAATTAAAAACGAACAAAAAGAAATATATTCCGCGACACAGATACTTAATCAAATATTTTCAATTTTATTTTTGGCGAGCTGCAACTATCGTGTAGCGTGTAACGTTATAATGGGTATATGGAGATCATGCGTTTCTCGTTGAATTTATTGCATCATGCATTTCCATTTTCATAGTCAAATTCCATATAAGATATATAGAAATCATATTCCTTTAAAAGATTAATTTCTTATTCGTAAAAAGTGATCGAATAAGAATATTCTCTTTATGATTATATCGTTAATTTTTGCATAGATACTTTTCGCAAAGAGCATGCGAATATTCGAATTATTCCTCGTTCTTGCCTTTATTCTCGCCGTTGATAAAACCTTGAAAAACGAATCAGTGAGAATGTATACCGTTTAAAAATATACTGGCAATAGCTCTGCGCTACCTAGTACCTAAAACAATAGCTGTATCAATAGTCAATAGTCAACAAAACCCCGATTTTATTGGCTTTTAATGTACGCAATAGCCAACCCTGTCTCTCCAATCGTCATCCGTTCAGAGCTTAAATCCGAACCGATGGCTTCCCACCCTCCGTCGTATCGTTTCAATTTGGCCGCTTGCCAATTATTCCGTCGTAACATTCACGATTTGACGTATCGTTGAAAGTTGAAACACGTACCATCCCCTGTTTTCTGCGCCCGCAAAGAATGCACCGTTGCACGCCTAATGAAGAGAAACGAACCGATCGACATCGATGCGACTCTATTTCCGGATATCCTGGAATGAGCGATAATCCCGTGAGTCCCGGAAGAGAATATTCGCTCGAATGGGGGATGCGGATGTGGGAGGAGAGCGGGATCATCTGTATATCTGGTTTTCGATGACTCGCCTTTGGGGATTTCAATGAAACGCGATATGCCCTAATTCTATGGTTTACGACGAGAGAGGGGAGGGAATAACAAATGTTACAACGCACAAGTAACACACGAAATGTTGGGAATGATATGAATTTATCGGAATATTCCGCAGCTATACTTGCGTAACCGCAGACCGCGAAGACTTAAATAGTGATTGCTCCTGAAAGACGTAACGTGTGGATCGATAGAGAATTATTACTTAGGTGAAATTACAGATTTCAGGAAAGCTATCTCGCGCGCATGAAAACAATGCGAAACGCCTAATATTAATCGATATATTAACAGTTAAAAATCGAATCAAAGTAATCTCTACTCCAGTATCTTGACGTTTTTGGCTTTGTGCGCGGAGCGTTGGGCTAAGGTGATTTGCGAGCGCGAACATCTCGAGAGAGTTTTTGACAAGGTAGACCGCGTGCTACACAGGCGACTTTCTGGAATCGATCCAAGCCCGGAGTACTGTCGCTGCGATTAAACGTCAAAAGGACCCCAGTCTCGATACGGAGTCACGGTTCGACCCCTCTGCGTCCATCAACGATGCTCAAATCATGCCCCCCCCCCCCCAATCACGAAGGAGAAACACGATGAAAGGTACGAGCGACACGTATGTGTGTCATGTGTGTATCTCGAAACGAACGTTATAATCAATAATGGGGAAAAGCGTATATTTCAACAAATGCGGGTATATCAGGATCAGAAAAACACAGAACATAAAAATACAGAATACATTTGTACATCCATAAAGAACAGACAAACAGAGAGGTGAGATAATGCAAGTCATAACAACAAAGTTCGCGCCGTATGAAAGAATATCAGAATGCTCGTACTTGAATATATCTCAATAAAGATGATGATGTTTGTTGCGTTTTTTATTTTCTCTCGCGCGTTTCGTAAATCTTCAAGATATAAATCTGCATTATTGTGAGTCTATCGTAATGTCGCTTCGAATTTCCGAACGATGCGGTAATCATCGTGACATCATCGTTTCGGAAAAAAAGAAATACGTATTTGTCATATCATATTTCCACTCCCTCTTTTTTGCTCTTTTTCTCTTATATCAAATAAAATACGATACATTCAAATATGTCCTTAGGCCCGTCGTTTTAAGCGACATTAATTCAGTACTATAATATAACGAAACATGATAAGATACTATCGCGGGGTTGTATAATAATATATTAAATTCATCAAAATTTCATTAATGTGCCAAGCACCCGCTATGCCAAAAACATTATCATTTGCTGGCCATGAAAAAACATTGGAGAAAAACATCGCTTTATTCAATATATCACTTCAACAAGAAAGATCGAGCACATTTCCAGGAGTAATTTTAGATAGAAATTATAACAACGTGCGTATTTATTGTCACATTATGTTAAATTGTATATTTGAAAGCGCATCCCGATTTTCGCACGTTATTTTTAACGACACATTCCCTTCAATCAGTTTGAATTTCCCTTCGAAAAAATATCGAGGCATCAGTAATTTTTTAGCTACGACGAATTGAAAAAGGAAGCTTTCAGCTATTTTTAAATACAAAACAATTCTAATACAAATCTTAATCATAAAAATATATGTCGCTAAAGATTCGAAATAGCGATAAGTGATGATCTCCCTTGAAATTTTCGCTAAGAAAACTGCAACGTGATTGAGGAATATGTAATTGAGGAAGAATGCGTGAAAAGTGGGACAGTTTTTATAGAATATTGTTAACAGCCGGTCTGTTGAAATTTTTCAGAATTGCACGCGCAATCGCGGCGAAATCGCGCGCGTCGCGGTTGCGACACGCGCGTTAGGATCTTTTCACCCTCGTTCCTGTTCTTGTTCCGGCAAGTACCAAGTACCGAAATCTTGGCGAGTACTTGGACGCTGGAAGGGTAAAAAATCAAAGTATCGAGGATTTAAATGATTAAGTACAGCGCTCTCGGATCTTGTTCAGTTCGATGCCGATACCCGATACTGGTGAATTGACAGCGCGCCCGCGAATGAGAGGGAAAGGAAGAAAGAAATCCGCACACAGGGGTAGCGCGAGAGAAGTCGCACTCGCGCGGATATCCGCGGCGCGCGGCGCCGAGCGGTGTACGCGTAGCGCGTAGCGCTCTTACCTGAAAGTCGCAGTAGATAATTTCGTTGTCGTCGAACAGTCGAATAGTGGCGCGATGCACCACCGTCACATCGCTCTTGCTGCCGAATTTCAACATTTCTGCCCTCAAGTCGCCACCCAAATTATCCCCCCGGCCGTCATCGTTCCTTCCCCCACAGCACCACACACTGCCCGTTTATTAATCGCGGCACGCGCCACCGTCGTCGTCGTCGTCGACGCCGGTCGTCGTCGTCGTCGTCGTCGTCGTCGACGTCGTCGTCGTCGCCGCCGCCGCTGACGCGCGACCGTACTCCGTATTAATCGGCGAGCTGGCACGGCACGGCGCGACGGCACGGTTGCACAGCGGTGAACGACGACACATCACCGCGGTAGCGGAAGAACGCGAGGCTGTCTGTCAACCAGTTCGTCCCACTGCTTCGCCCTGCGCCGCCGCCGCGGCCAACGCGGCGATGCCACGTCTCCGCCTCCGGCCTCGCTCCCTCGCGGCCCGCGCGCCGTTGCCGTTTCCACTTGCCTGTCATGGCGCCGCGCCGCGCGCCGCGTCGCGCCGGATTTCGATTTGCCGCTGAATCGGCTGAATGCTGATTCTGCAGGAGCACTCGCGGTAAGCGAGCCAAAGCGAGCTACTGCCTTGCCTTCGAGTCTTCGAGTTCGAGTCTCGTTAGCTTGCCGTGAAATTTGTCAAATATACTTTTAAATGAGCACTTGACATACTCGCCTATTGCTCGATTAAGATCGAGTTTGTAAATTTGTCGTTACTTTGAAATAATTTAACTCCGAAAACTCGCGCCTAAAAATAAACGTGAAATCAATCATGCAAACACTTGAAGCTTCCCCCGTAATTATATCGCTATATTGGAGACTATTTAGTATGATATAAAAGAATATTATTGCGCGTTCGGTTTTCTTTCGACAAGTAGAGGGCATTACTTATCAGTTAACGTGTGATCACTCCAAATTATCATATCGACAACTAACTTCATGCTCGTTCGTATATTTAGAATACTCCATTATCAACCATCTTCGAGATACATGGTTATTTCGAATATCGAATATATATATATATATTACCTAATATTTGGAATTCGGCTGACGGTACAGATTTGAGACTACCATTCGTCGATCTGGTTACTCCGGTTACTCCGGGTTGACTCGACGGCCGCGGAGCGTCGCGCGCAGCCGGCGCAGCGCAGGACGACGACGACGACGACGCCGACGCCGCGACGTTGCGGGGCGCGCGCGCGCGGGTGGGGACGTGGGGACGTGGGGACGAGTGGGGCGAGCTCGAGGGCGTCGGACAAAGGTTGGTCGCGTCGAGCGACCGGCCGGCAGCGCATTCGCGACTCAAACATGGCAGCGGCTACCAGCGTTGTCGTGCTCGACAGGGGCAACAACACCACCTGCACCATCAATTTACACGGTGTGTGTGTGTGTGTGTGTGTGTGTGTGTGTGTGTGTGTGTGTGTGTGTGTGAATGCGGGCGTGCGTGTGTGTATGTATATGAGGGTGCTCTGCGTGCGTGTGCAGCCGCGTGCGAATTCTGTGAAGGAACGCGACCGAGAACCGCGGCGAGATGACTGAAAGCTCCGAAACGTTCCCGCGAGCTTTTCGCGCGTCGCGGTTTTATCGCGTCGGTCGCTGCCGCGTCCTGACGCGCGATCGACGAAGCTCTACGTACGCTCTGGTACGTGCGCGCGTGTTTCGTGCGAATGTGCATCTCCGCTATCGAGGCTCTCGCGGTTCGCGGTCTGTTTCTGTTGGCGCGATTTAGGGACGGCCGACGGCGGCAGCCGGCAACGATGCGTGGACGCGTTACGTCCACCGGGTGCCTCCTCACGTGTCATCGCCAGCGTGCACCCTCCGCGCGTCCGCGCGATCCCACCGATCGATATTCTGATCATACGTTTCCATTTTGCAGGAGCCACCGTGGTGTCCTGGCGGGTGAATAACCAGGAACAGCTGTTCGTTAGGTAAGTACGCGCGTATAAGATTCCGCATGAGTACGCGCATGACGACGCTTTGATAGACAAATCGGAGCCCCCATGAATATCCTCCTCTTACGTCCGCGTTAATTTTCTCTCGAAAAGTAACGCGATTCCAATTAATATTATTGTCTTTTTAATATACTAGACACTACAGACGCGCGCTACGCGCGCGCTATTTATCTTTAACATTTCACTATTAACCCTATTATACACAACTGTCAAAATATACAATGACAGCTGCAAATGAAGTAAGCGCAGCAAGAGAACCAATCGGCATCGCGGAAAAGCGGCAACAATAAACTTCACATCTCCTTTTTAGAAGAGGAGAACTTTCGTACTTTTTATATTTGCTCGATCAGGGACGTTTTGTTGGGTTTCTTTAGAATCCTAATTTATCTAATGTCTTAAAGAGAAAAATAAAACTTGGATAAAATGCTTGAGATCCGACACGTGGTTAAAATCTTGCGGTTAGTAGACATACGGAAGAAAAAATACTAAACTTAATGAATAATTAAATGTTATGTACTCTAAATCTGATTATGAAAAGCATTCAAAATTTCCTCGCGTCAACGCTTAATATATTAATTTGAATTACGATAAGAACTCCAGAAAGATACAGATTTTTCGTGAATCATCCTGTATAGGTCGTAAAATGCGGTGTAGAATCGTTGAACGTTAAACGTTGACGTAAGTCGTAAGGTTGCGCGCGAGGTTACGCATCTTAGATGAGATAGAATGCATTTAGCTTGATCGCGCATTACGATGCAAAATTATAATATCGAAAGAACATTTACGGGAGTGCAGATCTGTCGCAGGAAAATCAAACCGATCGGATAGTTAGGATTATAGAGAGTTATGAAGCGACGTAAGACTGGCAAAAATTTAATAAATGTTTTTTCTAACGTTTCGTAATTTTAAATGTTACACTTTAGTGTTTTATCAATATTTGAGGGTTTAAAATAAATATTTAAATTTCAATTCGAAAAGTCAGGTCGAAGAGTTTTCCAACGTTATTACGAATTATCTAACGATTCTCTCTCTAACGTATCGAGAAATCTTTATGCCAATTGATCAAGAAGAATTTAGAGTTTTGAATTTAAAAACATATGAAAAGTGTAATTAAAAATCTCCAACGCGCGGCTTATAACGTTGCGATCTATTGTTCGAAACTGCAAGGCTTGCATTATGGCCATTATGCGCTACGTTAGCCACAGATTACTCTTCGAGATTAAGAGTATAAGTTCTTCTAGGTGAGAACAAAGTCTGCTCGTGTGTACCATAGGCGCACAGATTGCCCAACAAATTGCTTCTAGTCGGATGAGAAAAAAGAAAGATCACCGTCGAGTACAAGAATGAAACGATTAAAGTATCGTCATCCGCGAGAACGATATGCGCTCGATTTCAACCTGGACTGTCGCAACGGTTAACAATCGCTATGATAGGAATTAAAGCAAGTAACAAATTATAATATTTACGAATACAGATCAATGTCAAAATCTGTTTCGTTCGCGGTGACTCACAAAAACAGACTCACTTCACCGCCGTACGTGACCGATTCAAGGCTCTCGCTCTCGTCCGCGGCGCGAAACCTATCGAAATGATACGCAATTCCAATCAGACTGCAAACAGAGAGCAAACGCGAGTCTGCTCGGTCACGTTTTCCACGAGTTATCTTTTAATTTTTTAATTCAATTTAATTGTATATTCGCAATCCTGTTAAATATGCATGTATATTTGCACAGTTCATTTACACCGAAGTATTAACATCGACTTATTAATTCAGCTTTTTCTCGCGCGTCGTTTTACGATTCGTCACTGGGAAAGATGATTGTTTTTCATCACAGATGAACATCAGGCTACATAACTCTCTGCGATTCAAACGCGATATGGCAATGCATTGAATGCCTCCACAAGGCACAAACGGCTTTCGATAAATGTTTTTCCTCTCAATTTCCTTCAGCATACGCAAACATAATCTCCCTTTGATGGGTAGTAACGTTCCTTTCCGGATTACATTGTTCACTTCACTTTGTGCATGGAACTTTTGAAAATTCACTTACACCGAGGGAAATATCGCGCAAATCTGTTTCTATATATTTTTCCAATTTTTGCAATCTTCTTGGAGGGAATATGTCTCTTTCTCTCGAGTAGTATTATCGTTCTTTCGCGACAATGCAACGCGTATAGCACGAGAAGGAAGAGACAACGAGAGAGAAGGCGCGCGTTCGCGCGCGCGCGCGCGCGCGTGCACACCTGCCGAGAAAGAACCGCGTAAAAGCGCGGTGCCCGTGACGATCGCTTTAAAAGCGGCAGCCCGAGAGCAGACGATGAAAAAACTGACGGAGAGCGAAGGCAAGGGCGCTCTCTGGACCAGTACATACCTTATACACGGGGTTCAGGGCCCCTCGTCGCTTGCCAGTCATCGGTCCTTCCGACTGTAAAGCCGCTGTCGAGACTGGGTTTTGCGATAGACCCGCGGCTATCGGAACGATGCATGATGACAGCGTGGAACGTGATGAAAAATCAACATTAAGCGCGCCTTGTCGATCGGCATGTACCGATTGTACTTTCACCAAACGAAACAAACCTCGCGATTTCGTCTTCGTAAAAGATACTTGTATGAAAGAAAGCGCGAACTCGATTATACATGTTTTTTTTTTAAAGAAAAATACATAAACCGCACGTATTACTTCTCGTGCTACTTATCGATATATAATTCGGTTTGCGGATATACCTAATCGCGAGTCATCGTTCGATTGCTGTCAGGACTCAGAACGCAGCCACTCCGGGAGAGTTAAGGAATTTTAACAGTTGCGAGTAACACACATATGCAAGCATACACGTACACGGCGCAAGACGCTCGGCAAACACGCTCGTAATTTACTCCAATTTCCCTTGAAACGACTATAAAAGTTACGTCGGTATGTCCGGTCATGATACTGATCGCGATGCACCGACACACGAGGCATATATTTTAATGACAGATACTGCGTGTTTGTCTCCAGGAGAAACGGTGGCTATTAATTTCAATTAATAATGTCGGATATATTAATGTTTAACACATTCAACGGTTACTTACGGAGTTATAACAAGTAGTAAAATTTGTAGCGAATTTTATATTAACCTTAATGAGATTTTAACTTGAAACGTTTCATTATTTATTACCATCAAATTTTACAAATTTTACAAAGAATTTTACAAAGAATGCAGATTAAAAGAAACCGTCATTAAAATGTATACCTTGAGTGTAATATAATAAATATAAAAAAATGCATCTTGTCTTATATAAATTACTAAACGCATTGATGATCAAATCGTGAGACGAAATTGAATGCGGCCGTTCTGAAGCTGACCGATTGTGCCCGCGCACCATCGGTAACATGAGAGGACCACGTGCAGCATGTCGATCTCTCAGTTCTTACGATCCGACCGCGGATGTGGACGTGCCCTCGTCGAACATCTGCGTCCACGACGGGGCCCAAAAACGGAAATGAAGAATCGGGGACGAAGCGGCGCGTTAAAGCGACGAGCTACAGCTGGAATTCCATTAGCGCGATAAAATAATCAGGCAAACTGCGGTTCACCGGTACGGCGCGGCGGTCACGGCAAAATAACGATAAGAATAGGTAACTTTTATATATCAAGATGTAGGATAACACATAATAATGAAAATACGAAATATGTAAAAATCTGGATACATCGGTCGCTCAGTTGCTCACTTCGGTACGAGGGTTAGACTCTGGAATGTGCGTAAGATTGTAAATCTTATAGGTAGCTGGTAGAAGATACGGACGGATTGTTGCAATAGACTAAACACGAAAGGGTTCGTCCGGCGTGATTGTACTGAGAATTGTAGGCATATTAGTGCGAGCTACTACACGCAACCCCTTTCGACTCTAACATAAGACAAGCAAGGCGACCTAACTGTTATTTACTTCGTTCGAGAACAGACAAAGACTACCCATGACGGTCGGGAATGACCCCCGAGGGGAGGAAGAGTGAGAGAGAAAGGGAAGCAGGACAGAGACAAATAGCTCGAGCGAATCAAGGAAAACGACAAAGACAGGCTACGGGTGAGCGAAAGGGGTGCGGGTATACAAATGCACGATTCATCTTGACGAAGGGATGGGACGATGATTAAGGGTCCCTCGTCTATCCTCACCAGTCACCACGCCTAAAGACGCGCCACGGTCACGTATATATACACATGCTTCGCGCACATTCTCGCGAGAAAGAGCGAGAGAGGAAGGGAAAGAAAGGAACATGGAAAAGGAAAGCGTCCGTTAATGGCTGCCGGCAGGACTCAACCATGAAATTTCAACTCTACTTTCGGATTAGAGGTTTCGTTCGAACCGTGGAATTGGTGAAGCTCGTCTCGCGCGCGATCGCTTCATGTTCCCTATACGCATCGTGTTACGGGAATATAATTCGGGCCCGAGAATCGCACGTTCTCCAATTCTTGAAATTGCTCGAACGTGTGCAGTCTCGCGTGATGAGCGATAATCTGCACGCGCGGATAAAGACTTTCAGATATACAAGGACTCTGATATTCGAATCTGTTAATTGTATCAAAACCATCGAAACTCCAATCGTAAAATCTTGACCGTTGAACTAAATAATTTTTAATTGAAAATACGATCGAGATGCCACCGGGAAATATTCCGAGCCATTACGCCCTTCTTTCAAGAGCGAACGGGCCGGGCTTCTTACGAGGAGCAAGGAGAACGTCAAACGGTCCAGTCGTACGTTAGAAACGTCCCGCACTCGCGTGCATTTGACACCACATACGTCTTTGTCGTCCAGGATTGGTTCGTTGCTGGGCATATGGCGAGAACGTCTGTTTCTAGTGGTAATGCAAAGGCACTTAGGGGATTCTTTCTTCGGACCATGGAAACATTACGATTCCACGCGTTACTTTGCATACGCTATAGTTTAGCATCGTATTCTCAAAACAAAGTCTGTCTGTGCGAGCTTGCTTCGGACAT